AAAGGTCTTGTTTTGCAGAAACACATTGACGACAGCATGACGCGCATGCGCGTCAGATTTTCGCGCATGGGCATGGTTTTGCTCGAGTTACTTGGTATTTTTCTGTTAGAATGTTGTACGTCTATATAAAAGGATTCAGAAAATTATTATTATTTAAATTAAATTATTATTAAAATTAATAATTATTAACAAATTATTAAGGAAATTAAGGGAATAGCGCTGAATTACGAAAAAAACGTCCAAAAAGGAGCCAAGAAACATGCACAGCGGGCTGTCGTCAACAAGTTAAGGTCCTTATCTTGCCAAATCTATTAATGTTGCCTTTCTAATAACAAAACTTATCTTACTTTTATCCCTTATTTCAATTCTATTGTCTTTTTACCTTGATGGTCCTTCAGGAAGGTTCAGCTCGGCGGCAAGTTCTCCTCGAGTTTTCCGTGATACGTAGTTTTCTTTTGCGAATTCACGTTCAAGTCGTCCGATTTGTTCACGGGAGAACGCGGTACGGTAACGACGAATTTGACTGTCATCACGAGGATCTATAAAGGAGAACTGGTGCTATAAAATAACAATAAAGAGCAGTAATAAAAATGATAGGCGTTCAAATCTCTTAGAAATGAACGACTGATTGGGAATCTCTCCGGTTCCCTTTTTTATATCCACTGTGGTCTGCCCTTGCATGTTCCTTGAGTGCTTGGCCCCAGGTTCAACCGTCGCGTTCGCACTTTTCCACAAATTTTGCGACCCTCCTCTCCTTTAGGGGGGGTCTTGGTGCGACCCCCACTACCATCATTATCGTCTTAGAGGCTTCCTAATACGACGGCCGTCCTCCCTACCTCGATCGTCACCTTCACCGTCATGGTTATTTCTATATTTATTATTATTATAGTATTTATTTCGGAGGGAGAAGGGGAATAGGTAAATTAGTATTTTGAAGCGGTAAGTCCACTATTTTTGTCTACTTTACCCTAGATTCATGAATTTTCACCAAACTGGTCAAAAACCCGTCTGATAGAAACCCCTTTTTACGACCCCGTTCACACTTTTCCCAGAGGTAGTCAACCTTGCTCATCCCCAAATGCGACCCCCTCCCTTCCCAAAATCGCAAATGCGACCCCTCGTTCGAATAGTGCGAACGGACGATTGACCCTGCATAGCCCTGACTTGGCGTGCTTAGCCCTCTCGTCTTAGCCGGCAACAGCCGGCCGAGCTCAGTCTAATAACGATTGGCCGTTTTTACTATCGGCTTATGCTCGCCCACTATCATAGAGCCGCGGTGAAAAACATTTAATCGAGAAAATGGGCTCAATTAGGGCATGAGTATCGAAAGCGACAGCAGCAGCAGCAGCCCCGTGAGCCCGGCGGGCGAGTGGCGAGAGCCGTTTACGAGGTATACTGTGTCCAAGGGTGTCTCAATTACTTCTTATTACCAGTTTGTGACTAATTAACACGCAAATTATCCACGAGAGCGTGCCATGGAAATCGCACTTTAATTGCACATTATTGAGCGATTAAGGCATGTTCGACAAAAACGCGTTCGAAACGCGATCCTCATCCATTGAATGAGGTCGGATTCATCAGGCATGACATGAAATTGGAACTACATTCTTAGGAATTTGATGATCAAGGCCAATTACCGTATATGAACGGCGGTGACATTCCAGCCACCCCACCCCAATATTCTTCCGTGATGCCACCAATAGCAGCTGTCACTATGGGCCCTATACCAAGGGCAGTGAGTAAACATAGAAGTCATTACTCGAGTATTAAGTAGGAGTCAAATGTGTAAGTCAGAACGATTTTGTGCATTTGTTTAACACTTATACAATCTGCTTTGAGGTGAAAGGTAGCTCGGTGGAGGCACTCCTTGTTAACCAGCACTAAGTTTATGAATAATCTCTCTCAAGGTCTTCAAACCAAGGAATCATGTGTGTATAAGAATGCGATTCCGCAGAGTCCAAGGACTGTTTTCTTAGACCCGCAGGCGAAAATGTGCGAGCATCGCAAGATTTGCTTTCATGCTATTTCACCGATAATTTGCTCAAAAGAAAACGAGTAAAGACATTTGTAATTCATTGTGGTTGCCCTGACATCTGGGCGTGTTTACATGCTTATTAGCCCCAGGATCAGCCGTCGCGTTCGCACTACGCAAGGATTTTGCCGCCCGCCCCCTTCCCTTTCAAGGGGGACTCGATGCCACCTACACCAATACCATCGGTCCTAGGAGGGAGTATTTTTAGTAAATGAGCAGTTTTAAATGAGTTGATTATGTATCATCTGCGCTATTCCTGTCTATCTGTAGTGTTGGAGAGCAGAATGGAGTCTCCTCCGAACTTCTTCCAACCTTGCTTTGGACATGAATATGCTATGTCTCCAGTAATTTCCTTGAGTCTTGAACAAGATACTTGAGAGAAATTCTTTGGCAGATTGCAACCTCTTTTTCAAGTGGTGAGGTAATGCCCTCAAAGAAATTTTATAACGCAAGTTGACCGCTACTGTATGTCTCATGCCCAGGACTGTAAAACAACGGACGAGTAGGTGTGGTGGAACAGTGGGCGATCATTGCAAGATTATGGCCGTTCGTCTTAATGCCGCGATTCGATCCCAAGTGGCGTCACTTGCAACATATGCAGTTGTCCAATCCCGGATCGAATCCCGCCCTGATTAACTGGGCTTTTCATGCCTCGAATCGATCGATTAGAACAGCATCTTTCGTCAGAGTGGTCAAAGAACTAGAATACTTACAGGCAGGTTGGCTAGACTAAAAAAAAGTGGCCAAATTCATTAGAATGTCAGGACGATTCTGGAATGGAGTAGAATGCGTGGCGCACGCCAAGAAGGACTGCTGAACGCTGCATACTTTATCCTTAACCCCTTTTTGAAAGGCGTCGTAAAAGGATCCAGTTGCCTGAGTCTTATCTCCCTGTTCATGTCGGAATCGGGCACATGATTCCATCGTCATCACCAGAGAAGATCCCCTTGAAAATGCCATGACGTTCGCGACAATCCTCATTATCCTCTATGGGGTTCTATTTTTGTGTTTGAACTTGGTAAGTCCTTTATCAGAGATTATCTGAAATGGCGTTTCGTCAATGGAAGAGTCTTTCTAGGGAAAAATCACTCAGTCTTAATCAAGGTCAAACAAAGTGCAATCCATGTGGGTTGGTAGATGATGTACCTTTGAGGAGTTGGACGAGACATCGTTTCACAGGAACCCTTCCCCCTACCCCTCTCAAGATCGGCGACTCTGGGACCGGTCAAAAAAGTATCGATCAAATGTGTTAAGTGGTGTATCAGTCATTGACTGAGCGCTACCGTATGATCAGCGCACAATTATCGGTCCATCCTATGGCGGTTGTAGTGCCGCCCGCAAAGAAGCGTGTTTATGCTGGTGTTGCGCACGCGCGCGACGTCTTTACAACCGGCTTCGTTTACAGCGCTAAATAAAGGCGTACCGCAGCGTGGCGCGTCGCACGACGACGACCACGACCAACGCGATTTACCTGAGCCAATGTAATCGTCAACCGACGACTGGGATACGGTATGGTTCAGTCGACAAAACTTGGACACACTCTTTACAACATAATCGCACACAATCACTTGTTTTGCGAGATCAGTTTTACGACCTCGCAATCGCTTCAGCGCACAGTAATTCGGACCGCTTAATGCTCACCGCCAGTCTTTTCGTTATAACTATTACATTGTTAGAGCGAGCGATAAGGGAATGGACGGGACTTTGTTAAGGGAGGAAAGCGCCTAGGATGTTGAGGAAGCGCTGCGAGAGTAGATGAGCGCGAAACACTCGCCAAAGATTTGAGGTTTGAGGACATACTCGATCCCTACTCCCTCCCCGCCTGCGCCTTTTCCGTATCCTCAACCAAATTTTTTGATATAAATGGCTTTTGATCAGTCAGCGACCCCGCAATCCATTTCGTCGCGGCAAAAACCCTTGAAGTGCTTCCACAAATTTAAGGTGTCGTGTGCATGGCGCATTCCATGTTTGGTAATCTACACCTACTACTTTAATACCTTCTAAATAAAGTATAATACTGTTGGGTCGCCTACTGTCGGAAACTTGAGCAGGAACACTTACGCAAGAACTTTGTATTGTATGAAAAATCTCAGCCCCCTCTAGTCAGTAGTTGAGTTGTCCACATTTAGCGCAGTTCCTGCAAGCTTACCCTTGTCTCTGCCCGAAGGAGGATTTGATTTATAGTTGAAGTGATAGTCTTTTGTCGAAGGTAGTCTAGTCTATAGTCTAAATCTCATAGCACCGGATAACGCTGAATCCGAAACTGAGGTCTCAATTATTGAAAATCACTGGCAATTCTACGTAATTTGTACAGCAGGCTTATCCCCTCTCGAATCCACTATAGATAATGATTTCTTAACATACAAGTCTTAGTAGCTTTAGCTTCGAAGGGTAAAGGGATCAGCATTAGATAGAAGAAGATTTGCTTGAGAGTAGTGAATGACTTGGGATTCAGCTCGTACCCCCTCAATAATAGGAATCACTGCGCTAGAAAAAGCCCGTGTTCGTATGGAAACGAATGGGAAAAATCGAGAGAAAGAGGGTTTTTGTTGAAGGAAGACAATTAAGTGTATGTAAATCTGTGTTGATTAGCTCATTAATCACAGTATGTCCGGTTGTGATGGGCCATTTCGACGGGACCATAATGTATGGAATCGAAGCACGGTAATTAGCCGACACATATGCCCCATACACGATCGTTTGTCAAAATGACACGCGTCTCCGAGAACGGGGGCAGAAGAAAGCCGCAACGAAATGACACGCTTGAGGTAAGGGGAAAAACGACTGTCCAAGGTGGAACTAAACCTACTTTGGGAACCACATTTCTTCACGAATATCGCCCCCCTCACCCCCATTTTTTCTTCTTCTTTGAATTACAACTCAATTGACTACCAAAAGTTCAAATTTTCATCGAACAGTAGTAAATATCTGGGCGCTCATGTCCTCGGAGGGGGTGGGGAACATTTGAGACAGGGCCGATGGTAGGTGACACTTACATCCTCTCCCAGAATCCTCCCTGAGGCTCCCTCTAGTCCCTGGTGCTGCAAGTGGCTCACTGGCTTGAATGTCTCCCACCCCAGAACGCCATGAGCACCTTCACCTGTTGTTCCGGGCTCGATAAACGCGCTGAAGATCGTTACTTCGATGCGGACCTAATGACCACTTCATAGCCTTAGCTCTTGTGAACGTGAAAAACGCTTGAACGAGTTCGACGCTTTTTAATGTGATAGGCTGATAACATGTGTATCACGTGAATCGGATTCTTTCGAGGGATACTATAGAAGAACAGAAAGTAATTAAGAAAATCTGTTGGATATTACAAAATGGGTTGCTGATTTGTTGACTAGACCTGCTCGTCCATGGAGAACGTGGGAAAAGCTGTTAGTGTGAAATTGGAGGGGTTCTCAAAAATTTCAATAATCTTCCATTTTACAAGTCTTTTACCTAAATTCCTGATCTTCTGACAGTTTTGTTTTGCATTTGTTTTGCTCTACGGTATTTATATTCGGTTATTTTTTGTAGTCAGCTCAGCTTCACTGGGTAAATTGAAGCATTTTACAGGGTTATGGGCTCTTGGGTTGAAGTTGGCCTTGCTTGCCTTCGGCTGTGAACAAAATGTATGCTCGAAAGATTTTAAACGATGATTTCTTAAGACCTGTCGAGCTGTCGGTTCGAAAGATTATCAAGATGTTTAGCCCAACATGGACCTAATGACCCCCTAACTGACTGTGTTTTTAGAAAAAGATTCTAATATCTTGACCATGATTATTAAATGACGGATAGGCAAAGAGACTTATAGGGATACGAGACGGCTGCTAGCGTTGAATTTATGCAAATCTTAAAATTAATAGTTGGATTAGCGGCTGACAACAGTCGCCTCTTCAGAAACACTTGAAGACATCATCTTGATTAGTGCAAGTGCCTATTAGGCGATGCCGTATCGCTCTCTCGACTGCAGCGCTTATGGGATGACGACAGGAAGGATGAAGGGATCGCTTTCTAAGACGCTTTAGGGGCAGATCTCACTGAGCTTCTAGAGGCATTGAAAATTTTTAAGGATTTGAAAGAAAAGTTCGGCTAACCTGGGTTCGCATAAGGATGATGTCGTGAGCTGCTGCTGGGCGTTCGAAGTTCTTTTTGCGAAAAATCATCATCTGAACTTCCAACGGATCCTTGATGAGTCGGTGAAGAAAGCTGAAGGGGTAAACGTATTATGAAGCCTCACAGAGTAAAAACGTGAGTAATTGTTGAGTAGGAATGCAGAAGTGTATGGGGCGCCTAAGCCAGGAATGTGAAGG